GCCCACCGCCACAGCGGTGCCCCCACCGCTCGTCTTGATGGACAGGGGAATGGAAAGATCCTTTTGAGATTCCTTCAGCTTCTCAGCCAGGACGTTGATGGTGTTGGGCTGGAGGACAGAGAGCTGGCCATCCGCAGCCCCCGCCACGTGCTCTTGCTTTACCTGCCCTTTCCTTTTGTACCTGCCCAGGAACACAGCAGGGAAGGTGAGTAGCTGGTGGAAGGAGGTGGGGGCCCAGCGCAGGCACTGTCAGCTCCACGCTCAGCACTCCAGCCTGTCTGCTTGCATGAAGCAAGGCCTGAAACATTTCTAGCCTCCCCCCAATGCCACCAGCTTCTCTGGCAGCACCACGCCCCACTGAACCACTCAGCTGCAGGCACCCCTACACAGCCGGGGCACACAGGGTGCTGTGTACCCCTGCTCTTCTTCCAGAAGCCCCAAAAGCAGCCTCGCAGTGAAGGTCAGAAGTGTGGGGTCACAGCAGTCCGAGCACACCAACGTTGTCACCATGAGCTGATCTGGCAATTGGACTGGGGAACTGAGGTTCCCCAAAGCGTGCTGCCAATATACAGTTATATTCAGGGCAGACAAAATTCAGGGTTGATTGTGAAGAGCTACAGAAGAGCTTTACAAAATCCAGTGCGTGAACAGTAAAAGCACAGGCGAAAAGAACAGCCCTAACTGCACGCACAGGTACGGGCTCTAACACAGCTAAAAGCGCTCAGGAAAGAGATCTGGAGGTCACCGCTGGTGGTTCTACAAACATGAGCTCCCTGCCCCCCACCCTCGGCTCAAGCTGTCACCTGATGGCCGAGTTGGTGTTACGAACTTCCTCCTCATCATCATCATCATAGTCATCCTCATCGTCCGAGTACTGCTGGTGCTGCCGGACTGGGACTCGGCTGCGACCCACTCCTGCTGCGAGGTCTTCCTCCTCCTGCAAAACACCGTTGCTGACGGACTGCTGGCAGCGGCACAAGGAGGAAAAGCCCAGTGGACGCATCCTCAGTCCAGCCGAGCACTGGGGCCCCTTTCGAGAGGGGACGGGGGACTCTTCCCTGTGCTCGCTCAGCCGACCCACATTAACGCCAACCTCTTTTGCCAGGTCAGGCCTTATTTACCCTCCCACCTTCCAGCCTGGGTCAGCGCAAGGGTAGGCAGGCTGCACGGCAGGGGAAGGGCTTAGGCCAGCTGACAGCCAGAGCCCCGGGGAGGTGAGGGACTGGATGCAAAAAGCTCAGCTCAAGCCAGACATGCTGCTGGCCTGGAGCTCCAGCCTACCTGCATGGGGGATTTGGCGTAGTTGTGATTATCCAGGAAGGCTGGCAACCTCTGCACAATGGGGTTGGGGTTTGCTGGAGGCGCCCCATTGATACTGCTCGCTGTCTTTGCCACCGGTTTGGATTTGTTGGGTGGGCTCTGCGTGGCCGCGGCGTGGCCCTGGCTGATGGGCTCATCGGTGCCATCTGCCATACAAGCACAGCACAGCTTTTCACAACCAGCACCATCGCTTTTTACTCCACGTCCTCTGCCACCCCTTGCCCACCCCACATAAAAGAAGAGCTCTTGCGCTCCACCAGACCATCGCATCCACTTCCCATTCCACATCCAGCTGTCACCAATGTCCCCAAGCTTAAGCCCTCCCATTTTCAAGCTCTGCATCCCTCCAACACTCCTCCCCAGCACTGAGGCATCTACCGCATCACAGCACAGTGCGTACGGAGCTGGGCTGGTAGAAAAGAAAGCGAAGCTGACCACAAAACTGCCTCAAGCTCACTATCACCAGCCTGTGCTCACTCCGACGCAAGCCAGCCTGGCAACACCATGGGTATGGGGGGGTCTACCTGGATGGGCGCTCTCTGGAGCCACAGTCTTGCTGCTGGCTGGCTTTGCCTCTTCAGGAGATTGAGACTCCTGAGACTTCTGGGTCTGGATCAGCTCAGGCTGAGTTACTCGGATAAGCTTGAAGGCAAATGACAGATAGAGACTGAGCGCTGGACCGGGGTGACCCAAACCACATCCCTCCCATTCAGGCACTGCAGAAGAACTTGTGAGGGAGAGCCAACTGCTGAGCGCCCACGTGCCCATCAACTGATGATGCCATGGATAACCAGCCTTGCTGCTTGGCCTTTTGCTCCTCACCTGGGAGGTTATCTCCTCTCCCCAGAAGTCATTTCCCAAGGCCAAAAAAACTCCCCAAAATCCAGGCCCCCCACAGCACAGGGAGATGCCCTCAAAACAGAGTCTATTCCCACCCCAGGCTCACACTCCCTCAGGGCTTGGGCTGTCCTACCTGCTGCAAGGCCTCCAGCACAGTCTGGCGGTTCATCTTCAGGATGTGCAGTTTGGACTCGTACTTCATCCTCCGATCAGGCACCACCGCCATCAGGTTGAAGCGGATGTCGTGGTACGGCTCCCTGCAGGAAGGGACAGCAATGTCAGCCACAAGCTGGTGGTGGAAAACCCGTCTCCCACAACCTGTGCCAGCGCTTGGTCACCTTGATGCCCAAGCATCCAAGAGGCTGAGCTCAGGACCAGAAGCACCATTCCTTCTCCTATGGACTGAAGCTAACAGGGACCTAATCTGGCCACTCTTATCCTGCACGGCCATTTGCAGGGACTCTGCATCACACAGAGAATGCGGCTTCTCTGCGTGCTCTGAAGGCAGGTAGATTGTAGGCAAGAGAAGGCAAGGAGGCAGTGCGCCTGCGCCCCTCCCAAGCAACGTTCTCCACCCACACTTCCACAACAGGGACCACAGTAGACATAATCCAGGGAAAAATGGTGAGGGGCTAGTGCCTGCACCATGGCCTGGGACATTACCCTGCAGTGGCCAGGCCGATGCGCTCCATGATTACTCTCCTGGCTTTATCTGTCCATTCCTCGTCATCAGCCCATGGCCCTGTGATAACAAGACAGAGCTGGAATTAGCAAAGCAGGCCAAGGGTCCTGCTTCAGACTCACAGAGCGGATCCTGCCATCCCCACAAGAGGCAATCGCGCGGCTCCCTTACATACCAGGGAGCAAGTCAAGAAGGAGCCCAGGAGGCAGAAGGACCATGCTGTCAGCCCATACGTGGAACCCCCTGCCTCTGCCTTCCGAATGGAAAACGTGACTTATCTGCAGGGCAGAAAGGTGAGTTTTGAACCCTACAGACCACAAGCGATTCACAGGCTCCGGGCTCACAAAGTCCAAGGAAATCCCAGGTCTTGCTGGGATCCACCTGCCACTGGATCTGGTGCCGTGCTTAAGAAACCTAAGTGCTTGAAGCGAGTACCTTACCAAAAGGCCTGACAGACAGAGCAAAGTCCTAGTGGTGATAAATAAGTGTCTAAAAGACAGAATTAGTGGTCAAGTTGAAAGAGAAGGGAGTAACCCAAGCAGCCTGCTGGGATCTGCATTGGGACATTGTGCCTCAACACACAGTGGTTATTTGGCACAAGGAGAGGGGAAGGAGGAGGCAAATTCTGCTTGCGATACCAAGTTATTTCAGAGCTGCAGAAGGAGCTCATGACCCAGAGCAACTGGGGAGGAAAATGGCAAGGCTGGAAAAAGCAATGCAATGCATCTAGAAATAACTGCCTTCTAGACACAGTCCCCAGCGCATAGGCTCCAAAATGAGCTATCAAAACTCAGGACAAATCTGGGAGCCATTGGAGCAATTCTCCACGAACATGAGCTAACATTTAGAGGCAATGAAAAATAATACATTTGGACATACCAGTGTCTATTCAACTGTGTCAATGAGTAGGGACAGGAGGGTTCTTACCGTGGTCAATGGGATAGACCTTGAGCCCGTCCAGCTCAAACAGCCGTCCCTTGATGGGGACATAACTGACAAAATGAAAAGCCTCCATGGTTCGCACAGCACTGATACCGTTCTGCTTTTCCGGCAAGTGCCGTGGCTCCGGCCTGCAAGGGCAAGAGAGGCAAGAGGTCAGCGGAGAGTCTGCCTCCTCCAGCGAAAGGGAGCTGCAAGAGAGCCCCTCACTCACCTGGCATGGCTGTTATGGGCCTTGGCCAGCTCTGGGGCGTTGCCGATGGCATAGCCTTTACTCTGCAGCAAACAGCAAGAGAGGCAAACAATTGAGAAGTGACAGGAAACAAAACACTTCACCCACCGGCTACGCACTGCCTCCCTCCATCCATACACAGGACTGGGAGGGCAACTTTCAGGCACATACTCTGCTGAGTTACAGGTAAAACCCAAGATGAAAAGAACACACAATTTCTGCTAAAGAAATTACACTTAGAGAGAAACACAGACTTCAAGACAGGTCTGAAGGTAGGAGAGAGGACTTTTGATCACAGACTTAGAGACTGCACTTGGGCTAGAGAATAACACAACAGAAGGCTCAGAGCTGTGCCCAGCGTAAGGGGACCAAGGCTCTGGGCAAGGCAAGGTAGGAAGATGAGAGGGCACACCCCTGGCCCTACCTCAGGGCTAAATCCTTTGGTGAAATCCTTCATGCGGCTCAGCGTGGGGCCCAGGTCGACATTGTTGCAGTTCAGGAGGACGCTCAGGAGGGCGTGGGTGGCACAGGAATTGGGGATCAGCTGGAGGGTGACACAAGGAACAAGGCAACCCTTCAACAACCCTTCAGAGTCAACAATAATCAACTGAAAAGTACTGACACAAGAACCGCTTGTGAGAGTAGCGACTTGACCTCAGCTCTCAAAGGAAGGAAGGAGTCAGTCTCGTTTAGTGAGCCACACCGTGCCCCCATGAGTATCTGCTCACAGTGCAGGCCATGGACAGGCTCGCAGGCCTCCCTGGATTCCCTCCAACCTGGAGCTCAGGGCAGAGGCTCCCTAGAAAGAGGAGCTGCCCTCAGGACCAGCAAGAGCACTGCAGCCTCTCAGTATCACGTTGTTTCCCTGAAGTGCCACATGAGACACACACACTTTTCCCTTGCCTCCAACCTACCTGGTGAGCAAAGAACATGTTATTAACGATGTCATCGTCGATCACCGACGTCTCATCCACCAGGGTAGAGACCTTCCGGCGTGATCTGCGCTCCTCAATCCACTTGAACAGGAAGATGAACCCATACACAGGGCTGTGGAGAGAAGTCAGCAGCTGCATCATTTTGGATGGACCACACCAGTGGGGCTGCTCTGCCCAGTGCCAGAAACCTTCTGCTTCAAACAACGGGCGGAGCAAAGACAGAGAGAAAAAGCAGAACCACCAGCCCCATCTTTCTGGAAGTGACTATCCCCACCTGAGTCCCCTCAGACGCACATTGCCCAAGACACTCTCCTGCACTGATGCTCCAGGCTCAGACAACAATCAAGCTTGAAAACTTTGGGGTTTGACAGGTCTTAAGAGGCTCAGACAGGGAAACAGGAGGTGAAATTCACCTTTGGACACTGACCAACCTGCAGAATAGTGTCTGACCACCAAATGACTCCTCCTTTTAAATATACGTTGTATTCATTTTCAAGAGAGGTTCAGTGGCTTTTAAGAAAGCAACAGCCTCAAAGCCATTTCAAAGTGCTGAGACAGGGAGAGAGCCCAGACTGCAAGCACGCTGGTTGGCACTGCACCTCTCCACGGGGAAAGGCAGATGAATCCCTTGAAGTATGTCCCTCACCTGCCCCACAAGGTCTTTCTCAAGGCATGAGATCACCCACCTGCCCCCAACCTGTTGAAGCGCTCCTGGTTCATCACTTACAATGCTGCCTGACAAGCTCACACGGGCCCTTCTGAATGCCTGGCAACGAGCACCTGGGCCCACAGACCATTCTGCTGCTTAAAACTGACAATTTCATGCCTGTGACTTACCCTTGGCATTTGCTCTGCAGATCATAAATCTCTTCAACTTGCACTCCCTTGACCCCTGCAAACAAAGGGCAGAAGCTGGTATAAAGCCCACCTGAAAGGACTAGGAGTAATGTCAAGTGTGAAACCAACTTCCCAGGAAGGCTTCTTGTACTCACCAAAATCTTCGACCAGGAGTGTGAAGAGACCTGAAAAGGAACAAACCAACAGATTACGTCTGAGTGAAGAGAGCAGAGAGAGGAAACCTGCTGCCACCGGCCCCTCAAAGGTCCCACGCAGTCCCAGGCCACGGTGCAGCCAGAAAAACCGCAGCAGAGCAGCACCAGGATCATGGTGACTCCCCAGCAGCTGTTGAGCCCTTGCTCGCTACAGACGTGCTCTAGCTCTGCCCTTCATCCCTCCATGCCCGTTCATCATCCTCTTCCTCAAGAGGACCTGAACACCTGAACCAACCCTCTCCTGTTGGAGCCAGATGAAGCTGGACCCACCTTCAGCATCCTGACATACTGCAGATGGCCTGCCAAGAAGTAAACCCCCACCATGAACAGCAGCAGGGAGCACCTCAACGACAAGCACACTTCTAACTGGGCGGAAACGTGGCTGAATAGATCACAGGACATTTTAAAAGAAGATCATTTATGTTCTTGTTAGTGAAAGACAGCCGGTGAAGGGAAAGCCAGCTCAGAGCAGCAGGACTGTGGGGAAGTCCGAGGGCTGAAAGGCTCGTCTTCATCTCCCTCTCTCCTGGGAGACCAAATCCAAGAGCCTGTCTCCAGTGACTACCAAATTCCCATTGCAGAAGGACATAACCAGGGATACAGACACAACGGCAAAGAGACCGAAGGGTTATTAGACATCAGTGACTGAGCAGCAGCTTCCACTACAATGCCGTAGAAAAGGCAGTCGGCCCAATTTTTAGGCAATCCCCCCCCCCGGCATGCGGAGTTAGTGAGCTCGAGACTAGAATAATAAATCTACTTCTTTCGCTCCCATATAAAGGCTGCTGAAAGCCTGGGAGGAAGGCCAGGGAATATCAGTAAAAAGGATTCAATCCTGAGAAACGTCCCTGTAAGCAAAAGATTTAAGGAACCTGATGTAAGTGGCTCAGTCAAGAAAGGAAGAGCCCAAAGGGCGTCCACACCAAAGTGTAAATGACTAAAACAGGGAAGAAACTTCTGGGAGCAAAGAGTCTTCATTAATTTAGCAGAAAACATTGTATTTCTTACAAAATTGTCAGTGGGAAGAAACACACTATGGAAATAACATGCTTCAAACCAGTGACAGCCTCCTGGCCATGCAACGCCACTACACCAAACCCTGGCACCTTCCTGACAGAGATGTTTTTGCTGAGAATACTTGACGCCGTAGAGGGGTGTGTCGTACAGGTGACATCTGCAGAGACTTCAGGCAGCGCCGCAGCCTCGCTGCCTTCCTTGCAGCAACCCCCTTAGGGCAAGCGGTCCTTGCAGACCATAAGGGTCTTCAGATGCTCATTACAGCTGCGGCTCTTGTTCCATCTTTAATGGCGTCTGTTACAGAAGCAGGAGTTGCAGCTACTTACAGGTAGAGTCTCTCAACTGTAAAAGCTTCCGCAAAAGCCAACAGCCTCACTCACTCTCCAATTTCAACAGTTACAGTCTACTGATCACGGCAAAACACGTGCGATGTGAGACGTGAACCGTATCACAAGCTCTGCCTCGCCACCAAGGCAGATTTGCATCAGAGCAAGGGTTTGCAAACCCAAACAACCGCAAATGCCGAAAGCAGTGCTGCTCCCGCAGGTACCACCAGAAGACCAAGCAGGACTTCCAAGCTCGCTGTGGCTCAGGCTGGAGCACTCCCGCATCTCCGCAGCAGTTCTCCAGGACTGTGTGTCAGACCAGCAGGGCTGCACCACAGGAGATGGGAAGTCAGCCGTCACGTGTTTTCCTCCAGTCTGATTAACATTGCTGGGGAGTCAGAGAGAGGATGAAGCCAAGCTTCTCCAAGCACACTGGGAAAGGACGAGAAGTGATGGGAACAAGCTGCAGCAAGAGAAATTCTGACTACGCACCCGGAAAAAAACAGTTCTTCGCTACCAGTGTGGTCAGTCCTGGGACCGGGGAGCAGAAATCTTCTTGGGCGTATTCAACCGGACACGGTCATGGCGACCTGAACTTCTTTTGAAGTCAGCTCTGCTTTGGGCCAAAGACTTCCAGAGATCCCTTCCAAACATGTTTTTTCTCTGATTCATTTAAATATATTATATTACCTCAGCATCCCCAAAGGCATAGTCCTGCTGCTGCCATCACTCCTGAAACACCCGAAACCCCCATCCCAAATTATTTGGGCTGGCTGGAGGAAATATTCTGGTGTCCACAAGTACGCCTGCAGCCTGGAGGTTCCCAAGGCTCCCCTCTCCACCCCGCAGCCGACAGCCCAAATCTGCATCTACCAACCCTTCGTGACCAGTAAAGCACCAAGAGCTTTCAATCCCAAGCCCTGTGGCAAGGACTGGGCAGCTTATGGGATGTGCTGAAAGCCAAGAGCAGCGCAGGGGTCATTCCTAACTGCTGTCCCAGCCGCCACCTCTGCACCTGAACTGCCACACATCTGAAGGAGCGCAGCTGCGGCATGCTGAGAGCCCACTCTGCCCAGACTGATTATCTTCCAAGCAAATAACCTTCCTTCCCAAGTGTGAGAACCCAAACCATGTCCTGTCTTCAGCAGCATCATGACAAGGAAGAAGGAGGAGGATGGGAATGATTTTGGCAACTCCCGAGTACCAGTAAAAAAGGGGATAAAGAGCAGCAAAACCTGGGCTGACTGGGAGACCAACAGCAGACAGAATCCTTTGCCGAGCACAGGAAGACAAGTATAATGTAAGGGGGGCCAATTTCCTCACCTACAGCCTCAAAAATATACCATCGCACCCTAAAGACCAGCTCTCAGCCTCCCAGACAACAACCCCAAATTGCACTATGGCAACTCAAGAGACGTTAAAGCAACGTGCAACCAATGCCCCAGCCGACACCGGCTTTGGTCCTCAAATCCTAACCCACCAAACAAACTCCGGGACTCCACCACAGACACCACCTTCTCCGACGCAGCGGGAAGGGGATGCCCATGACTGTCCTGCTCCCAGCTGCTCAGGCACCATACTGGGTTCTTCAGCACATTTCTGGGCTGCCTGGGGGAGAGCATTTGATCCACCCGTTCAGCTGCAAAGCAATGACAGGATCTGTCATGCACAGGATGGAGATGCCGCCCTCACATGCTCCCAAAGTGACACAGGTTGTTCTCAGTCGCCACTCAGAGCTGTTTCTGTAGCAAGGGGCATCCCGTGTGCACGCCTCTCCTTGTATTTCAATGATATTTCAGAATGTATTTGCAAACGACAGGAATGCTTCACGCTACACACTCGCAGCATTTCAGATGTTTTCCACCGAGCCCCCTGGGTTTATCAGATCACACACACACAGAGGTGTCTGGGGCACTTTGGACACCGTGTACAAGCACTACCAGAGCCCAGGTCCCACTCTGAGCCTACACAATGCTCCTGCAACCTCGTTCACCCCATCCCTGCCCTCATCCCGCACCTGTGCCCCTATACCCAGTCTCTTGACATCTCTTTTCTGTCTGCCCTACACCCCCATAACCTCTCCCTAACCCCCCCATGTCCCACAGACTGCAACCACGCACAGCCCCTCCTGCCCCCAGGGCCCACGCTACTCCTGCCCCAGACGCCCCTACATCCTTGCCTGCCCTCCCAACCCTCCGCCCGTGCCCCCAGGCACCCCCTTGGCCCCTTTAGCAGGTCTCCCTCCCCAGGCCCTCCTCTCCCCGCGCCCCCTTCCCAGCCCTTGTTCCC